TTCGCTTCTCTCAGTTATTTTTGTTTTGTTTGTACTTTGTACGCTATCGCTCTATCTGCATGACGCGATGCAGTTTATGTATGTCGTCACTCCTTGGGGCGCCGTGCCTGCACCTTTGGGGCGCAGTGCACCGGATGCGCAGTGACCTCTACGATGTACGCCAGAGCTAGGCATTTTTTGGCTGCGTGTTTCCTTTTGCGCTGCGAGCTTTTTTGTTTTGAGGCTACATGTACCCGTGTCGCTTTTTGCTTTCAGAAGTCTTTGAGTTTCAGTTTTTATTCCACTTTGTAAAGAACAAGAACAAGCAATGGTTCGAAGGAAATCTTGTCTACCATGGCCACAGGGCCGCAACATGGTCCTTCGAGCCGGATGAGCAGTTCTAAAGAAATATACAGTCTTCAGATTACAGAACAGGGCAAAGGTGCCGCAACAAAGTTGCTTCACGTTATGATCTTGTATTTGAAAGCCCTATTTGAATATGCATTGTGGCCGGTCGTCTTTGATTGTACGGTACGGGACAGGTACGGGACAGGTACGGGACAGGTACGGGGCAGGTACGGGACAGGTACGGTCGAGGGTAATACGACACCATCTACCGCCTTGATGACGGCAAAAAAAGAATAGGGATGTTAACAAAATTTCAATTCTCCTGTTTTTTTCAGGCATTACCTGGGATTCGAACCCGCACTATCGCCCTACATGCATCCCCCCATACACTTCGCATTCATACTCATTCTTCCAAGTTGCTTCACGTTATGATCTTGCGTTTGAAAGCCCTATTTGAACATTGCGGCCAGCTGTGTTTGATGGTACGGTACGGTACGGGACAGATACGGGATAGCGCCAGGCGTGACACAAACACACAAACAAACAAACACCAAACGAGAGAGCTTGGAAGCTCAGGGCCCTACGCTATGCTTTTTTGCCTTGATGACCTAGACAAAAAAAAGCATAGGGATGTTATAAATTCTTAAAGAGGAACTGTCACCAAAAATTTCTTTGTCTTATCTTGTAGTTCTTTGGCTCCTGATCACGATGGTGTTATCCGTTTTTCTCTGCGATGGCTGGAAGTGGGTGAAAACTTGAAAAGAAGGTGCCCAAAATTGTCCCGAAGTACCGAGTGACGTCACGCCGGACTTGACCTCCACGCGTACATTCGTCGTCAAAAACGAAGTCCAGCCCGTGTGCTCGTCGATCGAGCTAGCTGTTCCAATGTACGGTGCACGTGTGCCTTTTGAACTGTAACACAGATGGGTACGTCGTACCGAAGGAGAATGCCAAAGAGGCAGAGACCCACGTGCAGCTACACAGCCAAATCAAAATAAAAAGCAGCTGAGCTTTCACCTTTTTGACTTCTTCCGCGAGGACGAGGATCTAAGTTTTATTTTGTGAGCACGGAAGTACGCCGTTGTTTTGAACTTTTCGTGTGAGGAACAACACGATGATGAGTGCGTATGCAGAAAACAGTACTCCTCCGGCCGGCGATAACACCACCAACCCGAGCCCCAAAGGAACGCAATGTAGTTAGGTGAAGGCGATTCATCTGGCGATGTTGCTCAAGATGCAGATGACGAACTCCGACGTCTTTCATTTCAGAGCCGGGTGGGCAACATCGCCACCTTCGATACAACGACATAATTTTCAAGTATGAGGTATGTGTGTCACACTAACAGCAAACAAACATCCTTCCACTCCTTCGTAATCACAAAATGGAGGAAGTACCAGTGCGACAAACTGCAGTCGACTTTTGTTTATTTTGTCCCTTTTTGGCGTTCTCATTGTGTACAAAGTACACATCGAGCGTCCGAGTTCAGAAGGCAAGCGTGCACCGTACATCGAACAGTTGGCTCGATCGACGAGCACACGGGCTGGACTTCGTTTTTGACGATGAAAGTACGCGTGGAGGTCAAGTCCGGCGTGACGTCACTCGGTACTTCGGGACAATTTTGGGCACCTTCTTTTCAAGTTTTCACCCACTTCCAGTCATCGCAGAGAAAAACGAATAACACCATCGTGATCAGGAGCCAAAGAACTACAAGATAAGACAAAGAAAATTTTTGGTGACAGTTCCCCTTTAAACAAATTCCTTTTTTTAAGACATGACCTGGGATTCGAACCCGCACTATCGCGCGCCCTGCATGCATCCCCCGATACACTTCGCATACATACTAATTCTTCCAAGTTGCTTCACGTTATGATCTTGCATTTGAAAGCCCTATTTGAATATGCATTGTGATCGAGGGTAATACGACACCGTCTACCGCCTTGATGACGGCAAAAAAAGCATAGGGATGTTATAAATTTCTCAATTCTCCTATTTTTTTAGGCATATCCTGGGATTCGAACCCGCACTATCGCCCTACATGCATTCCCCCATACACTTCGCATTCATACCCATTCTTCCAAGTTGCTTCACATTATGATCTTGCGTTTGAAAGCCCTATTTGAATATTGCGGCCAGCTGTATGTGGCCAGCTGTGTTTGATGGTACGGTACGGTATGGGACAGATACGGGATAGCGCCAGGCGTGACACAAACACACAAACAAACACAAACACACAAACAAACAAACACACAAATACCAAATTAAAGCTGTGTGGACCCTGGCTAGCGCCAGACGTTACTGAAGTAACGTCTTCTGCATAGCTACGGGAATTAAAGTGTGGACCCTGGCTAGCGCCAGACGTTACTGAAGTAACGTCTTCTGCATAGCTACGGGAATAAACATTTTTGTAATTGTCCTGCATGCTCCTCTCTCTCGCCTGTGCCGTGCAGCTATACCAACCGGTTATGCGCGATTGGTCGCGCATTTTCATCGACACGGAGAGCCAGGTCATTCAGCTGCACACTGTGGAGCACTTCTTCGGCGGTATGAGTGACAAAGCAGCCGTCCTCAGCTGCATGGCCAAGTCGTGCCTCAAAGCCGAGTCGGCGCCCACCAACATCTGCCAACGTACCGGGTACGGACAGAGTTACCAAGTGCAGTCACAACATTTGTGGCAGCTGAACCAGATGCCGCCCGTTTCGTTTCGTTTGTCGTTGCTGCTGCTGCTGCTGCTGCTGCTGCTGCTGCTGCTGCTGCTGTTGCTGTTGCTGCTGTTGCTGTTTTGAACTTTTTGTTTCGTTAAGTCACTCCTCGATCAAATGTTGTCCTGTTGCAAGGAGCATTCGCTCCCTCCAATTAGCAGCACTATTGCATGTATATTGTATAATGTAGTTCTTGTATTGTTTTGCATTGGTCCTGCATGACAGTAAATGTGAGTCGTGGCAGCACATGCAAACAGTATTTGTACGTCATTTCAAGCAGGTAATTGGCAGCAATCACTGAAAATTGCTGTCACCAATTTTCTTTCTTTGCAGATGGATCAAAGACCGAGTTGTCAAGATCAACTTCTTCTTTCAGATGCTGGGAGCTGGCAATGCAGCTCGTGACATTCTGCAGATCCGTGAACACTTGCAGCTGACGGGCAACTTCGATGATGTGCATTTTATTTGCAACCAGGTAGGGTTGTGTGTGTGTGTGTGTGTGTGTGTGTGTGTGTGTGTGTGTGTGCGCGTACGTGCGTGTGCGTGTGTGTGCGTGTATGTTGGTGTGTGCATGTGTGATGCATCTATCCATGCATGCATCCGCCCACCCATCCGTCCATCCATCCACCCATCCATCCATCCACCCATCCACCCATCCACCCATCCATCCATCCACCCATCCACCCATCCACCCATCCACCCATCCACCCATCCATCCATCCACCCATCCACCCATCCACCCATCCACCCATCCATCCATCCATCCATCCATCCACCCATCCATCCATCCATCCATCCACCCATCCATCCATCCACCCATCCATCCATCCATCCATCCATCCACCCATCCATCCATCCACCCATCCATCCATCCACCCATCCATCCATCCACCCATCCACCCATCCACCCATCCATCCATCCATCCATCCATCCATCCACCCATCCACCCATCCATCCATCCATTCATCCATCCACCCATCCATCCATCCATCCATCCACCCATCCATCCATCCACCCATCCATCCATCCATCCATCCATCCACCCATCCATCCATCCACCCATCCATCCATCCACCCATCCATCCATCCACCCATCCACCCATCCACCCATCCATCCATCCATCCATCCATCCATCCATCCACCCATCCACCCATCCATCCATGCATCCACCCATCCATGCATCCACCCATCCATCCATGCATCCACCCATTCATCCATCCACCCATCCATCCATCCAGCCATCCACCCATTCATCCATCCATCCACCCATCCATCCATGCATCCACCCATTCATCCATCCATCCATCCATCCATCCACCCATTCATCCATCCATCCATCCATCCACCCATCCATCCATCCATCCATCCATCCATCCATCCATCCATCCACCCATCCATCCACCCATCCATCCACCCATCCATCCACCCATCCATCCATGCATCCACCCATTCATCCATCCATCCATCCATCCATCCACCCATTCATCCATCCATCCATCCATCCATCCATCCACCCATCCACCCATTCATCCATCCACCCATCCATCCATCCAGCCATCCACCCATTCATCCATCCATCTAGCCAGCCAGCCAGCCACCCATGCATCCATCCCATCGTTCATCCATCCTATGGTTCATTAACTGTAAAACCGGAAATTTTCGGTGGATATGTATTTTCGGTAACTTCGGCCCAGGTAATTTTGTACCTAAAATAAAACGTGACCTAAAATTCAACCATGTCATGCCACACAGTGTGCAAAA